TTTGTTCGTACATTTATATGTAATATAGTTTTTTTTATATATATATAAAAGACTATTTCTCTTCCTCTACATAATATTTCTCTGATTTGATGTGTTTCCCTATAATTTTCAAATTGCTCTTCTGTCTGATTATTTCTGTTTCGTTGATAATTTTCTAGTAGCAATGTTAGATGTACTTCTCTTTCTTCTGTGGTTTCATTTCTCCGCACCATCTTTTGCCTTTGAGATATGATTTGAGACTGCAAAAATTCTTTCTTACGCTTTGGCATTGTATTTTATATTTTTACTTTTCACACTTCACTATTTACTTTTCACTTTCTACTTTTTTCTGTTATTCATACACTTTTTACTTATGAAAAATTAACTGAAGCATGTGCGTCACACATCTCCAAAAGCCATCTCCACTACTCACACATAACCGTCCTCGACTATTCCAAAACATTTTTGACTATTCAAAAACATTTAAGATTAAGATTAAGATTACAATATAGTCAATCTTGCTTGTTTTCACAGAATGCAAGAATTAGGTCCCCCATTTTCAGACTAATTAGAGAATTTTTACATGGATCTAAAAATATGTTCGACTTCCCACAAAAACATAAAAAACTGCATCTGTGCCTGTAAATCTTGCATGCCACTTTATCTTAACACTTCCTTTGTTACTCAACACTTCCATTGTTACACATTTTCGAAGTCAACCACTTTCAACCCCCATATCTCCCACAGCCTTATAGCTATCGAGATGCAACCACCATAGTGCACGATGGGAGCCAAAACTACACATCGCACATGAATGGTGTTTGTGTGTGCGATGGGATTGCACACACAAACACCATTCATGTGCGATGTGTAGTTTTGGCTGCAGAGTGAAATATAGGCACACACACGTCCATTTATATATATACAGTAATACCCCAAACTTACGCGATAGATGGGACCGAGCGGTAACCGTGTAAGTCGGGGTATAATTTCGCATATAAATACATACAAATAATTTTTAATTTGGGCCGGAGACTAAAGAAAACAATAATTTAGAAAAATATGTTTAATAAAATCTTAGATAATATATATGTATAACAAATTAGGCCTATATTATTTTACAATTTTTCACATTTACTTGATTATTACGCCATAATTTTAACATTGTTTCCATCTCAGCAATAATACTGTGACATTTATGAATGATGCTTGAATTTAAAGATTGAGCATTTTTCACAGCTTCGAGAATTTTTTCTTTGCCTTTTATAATTGTTCTGACCGACAATTCCGGTAGATCAAACTTCTTTGCCAATTCACAAATTTTAATTTTTATATCGAAGTCTTTAATAATTGGTACGTTCGTAAAGTCAAACGAGTTAAACACGTTAGTAACGAATCGTTTGAAAAGTCTAATGAAATAGGAATAACGATGCTTTCATTCTTGCTTCCAATAAAGGTTCCAATAAAATTTTAAGAAATAAAGACCTTGTAAGAACTTCACAACCAAAAATTTCATCACGTAACGCTTTAAGACGCCCACATTTAGCCAAAATATGCCAGGCATCCACAATTTCGTTCTCAACACAAAAGTTACACAATTCTCTCGAATAATTATTTAAAAAAATTCAGAGAATTGCACCTAATTTATAAAGAAGAAATAAATTAGTTTGTAAATTTTTCGTCCGATGGAGATTATTTTTTAATAAAACAGATGAATTTATAGATGAAAATCTACATGTATCGTCACCAGGGGCAGCTTTCATTAAATCTACATATTCCAGCACTTCTTTTTAGTAGATAAAAGCAATATCACCCCAAACGAAGGTATGATGGATGCAAGAAAGATGTCTGAATGCCACCAGTTCCTTTTTAGAAATTATTTGTAATTTTAATTGGATATATATTTTGTGTTTTTTAAAAGGACTTTTTAAACTTCTGGCAACAAGTAGCCTATAAAGAAAGGTCTGTTGCCAAGAATGTGTATTGTCTGTAACACGGAAATAATAAATGGTGGTCCTATATTGGGCAGACTGTCTTCAATTTTATTAAAAAATAAATTAGTAACAAAAACACAGCACTGACAGATGCTCCCCATGTTTCCTCTTATCAGTTTAACAGAGGAAGGGGAACGCCTTTCAATGACCCCAATTTTGCCTTTGGTCACCGTTCAATATCCTGCCTCCAGCAGATTTACTCATCGCCCACATGGGGGCATTATTGCCCACTTTGAGAAACACTGATCTAGACAGTATAAAGAACAATAATATTTATTGAATTTGTAAGCTGGAACTATCATATAATAAAGAAAATACACACCTTTCTCACATTTTCCAGCAGTAACTGTTTAATAAAAAAAATTTTTGGCCATTAATACTGTTATAAAATTATAATATACAGTCGACCCCCCCTATAACGCGGTAGATATGTTCCACTTTATAAGAATTTCGCATTGTAGGAATCCTTAAATACATGAGACAATCACAGCCTGGCACGTATGCAGTTTACGAACTATGGCTGTTTGAAAGGTTTTCTTCCATAAAATTAATCGATTCTAAACTAATTTGACTCAACATTTCCGAAACACGTATAATTTTTTGGGAATAATCTGATTAAACTATGCTAGAAACAAAAAATTGTAGGATTACTTACAGAGTGTGCACCGTTTGACGACACCATTGCTTAAGCTTGTTTTCGTCGCAGAGCAGCGCACCAAATGGTGGGCGAGGTTTCTGATAAATTATTTTTCTGCGAAAAATTCGTTGAACTTTGGAGACATCATAAATAGAAATAATTTTTATGGCCGTTGAATAAGAAATGTTTTTTTCACAAGAAATGTATAAAATTACAGTACTATATTAGACTTACAGTACCTAATTTGTATACTGTACAGACGATAGTAAACCCAACTTATCCGTCTAAACTCTCCATAGCGTGTAAGTATTCAGCTGCTCGTCCAGATTCGACCAATCCTGCTGCAACATGAGTCGGCGATGATGTTTTACCGCATTTTAAGAGTCTCTTTTAGCGTCTTTATATGAATACGGTTGCAATTTTTTTGCCACGATATACGAATCTGCATTATATGAACCCACGTTATAGGGGGGTCAACTGTACATCAAAGAAAATTGGCAATCTTTCAAACTTCAAACTCACTATATATGTTTGATTTCATATATCAGCTTAACCTGACACAGGCCCCTGAATGTGGCCAAAAAATTTTTTTATTAAACAGTTACTGCTGGAAAGTGTGAGAAAGATGTGTATTTTCTTTATTACAATAATAATTGCTTTTGTTTTTGTAAAATGAAATGTATGTTTTTTAAAATTTTTTCTTTAAGATGTGTGTATTTTATTTTAAATATTTAATTTTATTTTGAGGTTAAAATCACGTTCTGTTTAAATAATTAGCAAATTATTTCTAGCAAAGTTTGCGAAATTTCCTTTTTTATTAAATATACGTGATATTAAGGCAATTTTTTGCTCTAGTATTTTTTATAAATTAGGAAAAATTAGTGTAATTATCTGGGAAGTTTTGCAATCGCATTAATTTTAATTAAACTTAAATATACATTTTTGGATCATTTTTACTGTAGCAGTATTTATAAATATGCAAAAAACATTTATATCATTAACTGTTATAAATTTTAAAAAATACAAGGATAAATATTTCAAAAAATTTCTTTAGTAACATTTGTTTATCAATGAATATTAACTTTATCACTTTTGGATAAATAAACTCGCGAATATCGACTGAGAACTTTAGTTTTGTACAATGAGATAATGAATTAATTATATCAAAACATAAAAAACAATTAAATATAAAGAAAATAAATGACACAAAAAAGAAGTATTTTAATTTTATTTATACTCTTTTGGAAANAAGTTAAAACTATTTATAGAAAAAACAAATATTTGAAATGTTGAAGATGAATTTCTAACGTAATTGCTAGGGGTTGTATTTTGAATGGAAGGAAGTGTGTATTTTATTTTAAATATTTAATTTTAATGATTGGTATTTAAATAATGTATTAAATTCTTCATACAAGATTTAAACTAATAATTTCAAAAATACAGAAACACATTGAAAATATTGCTATGTTTTATTAAAATTAACCTTATTTGGAAAATATATTATCTGTTTCAAATGTTTTGCAATATTGTTTATAGTTTATATTTTCATTTCAAAATTATTTATAAGCCTTTTCACTAAACACATCATATATGTTTTGTTGTTTGATAATCTGATTAATGTAATTACAAATTTTTAATACTAAACAGAAAAATTCTAATTTTTGGTTTATTATTATTTACTGTATTAATGCGATAAATTTATGATGATTATAAAATAAAATGTTTTTGTATTTAATTCTGTTCTCAGTTATCTGGATGTATTTTTAAAATAATTTATAGCTGCTGATGATGAAATCAAAGATGATTGAAAAATGTGTTTATAAACGTTGCTGTTCAGAATGTGCTGAATTATTGATTTTGATGAATCAGATTCTAAATACTTTGAGTTTTATTATAAGTTTGATATGTACAATAATAATAATAATAATTGCTAAAAAAAAAATATGATATTACTAATTTGGTCTGACTATTAAAAATTTAAATGACTATTAAAAAAATTAGAAATAATTGTAATATTTAAAAGAATAAAACAAAAATGGTATTTAGGTCTGTAGTAATACTTTGAAAAAAAGTAATAACAGCTATATAAAACCTGTTGTTATATAGTTTATAGTACAGAATAAACTAAATTTTTGATTGTTTATCTAACCACGTAAAGCCTATTAAGCTGACTAATATTGCTGAATTTATCTAAATCTTTGATGTTGATTGATTATAGGTTATAAATCACTAACAACTATCAAAAGTTTAAATTATATTAAAAAAATTATAAATTAAATGTTTTTTTTTTATTTCTTATGATGTAGAAAAATGAAGATTACAAATAAGAAATTGAAAATTCTTTCTTCCAATTTTCTTGGTAGAGTTTGTCAAGAAATATGTTTTATTTGAAACAGATTTTCATATTAGCACTGAAAATAAATGTTCAAAATAATTTAGCAATAAAAATACTTTGATCACACTGTTTCTATTATTCTCCATTATGAATGCAATAGTAAGGCTGTCTTAAAGGAAAACATCAGTTCTTTATTCAAAATATCATTTATTTTTATATAGAGGGAATCACCACCCCTTTCTCCACTACCAAGGTTGAATGCTAATCCTTTATCACCTTGGAGACGAGTGTCTTCAAAACATTCTGTATATGTTTCACCTCTGAAGAATTCTAATTTTCCTCCTTCTCCTAGTAGACCATTATCCTACAGTTTCAACAGGAGTTATCCAAAGGTAATTTCTTCTAACTGAATTGATCATTACAATAGATTTATAATCAGTTATTTAATATTTCTTTTTTTAAATATCTTTATTATGAAATTATTCATGTTGTATTTAAAATTCCATGTTTTCAATTTAAGAAAACTTAAGAAATTTTAATTCTAATACATAGAATCTGTTTATCTATAGCATTTAAATTATGCTGATGACATTTTAATAGACACAATGTTTTACTTTGAATTTGCATCAGAATTAGAAAATATACATTATGTGAGTATTGTAAATTATATAACATACAAATTATTGTCTATTATTGTTAAAAATTAAAATTTTTTTTAAAAACTTGATTTTCATCTTAAAAATTGAAATCTTATTAACTTTAGAAAATGTGAAAATAGAACTTAAAAATGGTCATAACTAACTAAAAAGGAAATTGCCAATTATTGCTTTATTTAATACTCATCAAAACAGTATCTGTACAAATCAGTCATCAGTATCTGAACACTATCTGAATATTCAAATCAAATTCATCTTAGCTTATAAAATTCACTTTTGAAAATAAATGTTTTATATGCAACTCCAGTTGAAAGTTTATATGATGTAGTTTAGAGAAGGTACAAGGGATGTTTATTGAAAATTGATTTCTATAGAAAAATAAATTTCATTTTATTTCAAGTAGGACAATTGAAATTTGGTAGATTTCAATTGTCTTATTTGATGATAAATTAACTTTCAACAGTTTACTTAAAATGTTACAGAAGGGAATTGACTTTCTAGTTAACTGAAATTATCCTAACTACTTGGCATTATAGTAAATACTCAAAAAAGAATTCTTAATTCAGGAACCAAAACTTTTATTTAATAAGAGAAACTTTTTTTATTGTTTTATTTTTTTAGAACAGATAGAGCTAAAGCTGTTATTAAAAGAACAAAAATGCTTCTCTTAGTAAATAAAAGTTTTGGTTCCTGAATTAAGCATTCTGTTTTAAATACTCTGAAGTTAAAACTATTTATAGAAAAAACAAATATTTGAAATGTTGAAGATGAATTTCTAACGTAATTGCTAGGGGTTGTATTTTGAATGGAAGGAAGGAACCTTTAATATTATATATATATATAAAGAACATAATCCCATATGACTATGTTATTTGTAACAATAATAATCATAAAATCACTAAAAATTTTATATTCTTGAATGTATCTGGTTTTTGAGCTTTTCAGACTTAGAGATGCCAGATCAGGATTTTATATCTTCATTATTTCCCTTCAGTGATAAGATTTATATTTTCTGCTTCATTCTAATATAGTATTGTAGATGCATTTCTGTGTGTAGTATGTATGTATAGATGTGTACACAAAGTAATATGTAAATTTTGATTGTTTTGTTAATTATAATTATATTTTTAGGATCTTCGAGCAATAAATTGCATGATGAAAAGAGGGGAAAGAAAAGTTGGAAAACGAATTCTTCAGGATGATTCTGAACCTGATAGTCCTGCCAAGCGTATTAGCACAGATCTTACTCTTCGAAAAATTCAAAATGTTTTTACGGAAAGACAGGGTGGAGGAACTGAATAATTTATTATAGCAACATAGTTACAATAATTGTACAAAAACTTGGAGAACTGCAAATGATCTTTGTATAGTAAAATAAATGTGTGGCTGATCTCAATTTTTTTATGTCACATGGAAATTAAACAGTATAGCAGAATCTCCAATGCTCATACTTAATAGAGTATTTCCATTATAAATTTTAACTAATAAGTGAAATAATGTACAAAGTTCCAAGGTCAATTATGTTGAATAATTGAATGACTTTTTATTTAAGATGTTTTCAATGTAAGGGTCCTTTTGCCATGTTTGTTATGGCCTCAGTCCAGTATTGCATTATAAACAACTTTTTATAGGATAAATCTTATATGTCATCTTCTGAACCAACCATGAAATATTCTCTTCAAAATTGTACCATTTATATAGATTTGTTTATATTGCCTTCTTTTGGTGTAATATGTCTAAAGACTTTTATATGGAAAAACTGAAACAATCTTTATATAAACGTAAAATTTCATCTTCAGATTTAACATTAGAATGATATACATTTGAAGCTTATGCTTAAAGAATAATTTTATAAAGAAAATATTCACTTTTTATGTTAGTACTGCCTAACAGAAAGAATCATTTAAAGATATACAAAGATTTTGACATTATTTAAAAATGTTGTTATTATTATTTTTATTTTGATTATTGTGTTTGAAAAGTTAATCTCTGGGGCTTTCCAGCATAAATTTAAGTTGTGAATTAGGAACTCAGAAATCATAGTTTTAAAATAGAAGGTTTGTAAATCTTCATTTACTTAAAGGCATTATAAATATTTGCATATAAAAATACTTTTAATTTTTCAAGTATTTATATGGAGTGTTAAAAAAATACTCAGTATTTATAGGGTAGAAAGTACATGTTATGCTGAGTAAAAAAACCATTGTAAATGAAGGCAAAAAATTCAATCATTTCTGAGATATTAATGATTTTGTTTGTTAGTATCTTGATTTCATTTATTGGCTTCTAATGTCACGTGTGATATGAAAAGAGGGGACTATCTTGCCAGATCTTTATCTTGATTTCACACATCCTTCCATTTTCATCCATGCTTGGCATCATCATCATCTTACAGAGTTGTAAACTTTCTCAAAATTCCAATTTTTGTTGGATTATTTATCTCAGAAATGATTAAGTTTTGGTCTGTGTTTACTAAGATTTTTTTTTACTCAATATGGTGTGTACTACTACCATACAGATGCATATAAGCTTTTTTTAACACCCTGTATTTTTCAATTACTACTAAGTTTAGATTCTCAAAAAATTTTATTTTAATAAATTTAGTTTAAAACTAGAATTACATGAGAATTTTTTATGATAGTTTTATAATAATATATTTACAATATAATTTTATTTTTCATAAAATATTAGCTGTTTTGATTGAAAGGCAATTAATGCATGAATTACGTTTTTAATGTAAAATCTATATTTAAAAACAATTTGCATTAAAATATTATTCTTTGTTCCTATCTTAAAATGTTTTAACTTTGTACATGATATAATTTGAAATTTAAATATTACTTTTTCTCAAGAAATTCTGATAATTTTTATTTTATTAATGTTATATTTGTCCAATGTCAATTAATCTAATAAAATGTTTAAGTTTGTCAAATTGCAATTTATTAAAGCATTTTTAACATTAGTAAAGTTATCTGAATATCTATAAATTTTAGCACAAATGTAATTTGATTCAATTAGATTATGGGTCACCAAACTATGGTTCATGGGCTGGATCCGATCCAAGAGATCAGTTCATCTGGTCCGCCGCCACTATGCCACAAATGAGCTAAAATATAATTATTTATATGGAAGCATCATACATTGCAGATAAACTGCACATATAGAAAAATTTAAATAAGTAAAAATGCCAAAATTGGTCCAATCTGATTTTTGCATCTGACTAATATAATTTTTTAAGAAAATCAGTGAAATAAAAAGTTTGGCTACTTTTTGCAACTTTGGATATCAGAGTGCTTTTTGTGTAAGCACCTGCAATGATGTTTCTAAGAAAAGCTTGCTGTAGCCATCATGTTTGTGTATTGGTAAATAATTATGTTGATTGTCTTTATTTTTCGTGTATTCATTGTACTGTATTGAACAAAATGGTTATGCAGCCCACGCTCATCATTCTCTCAGTTATCTGGCCTGCTGTGAAAAAAGTTTGGTGACCCTGAATTAGATCAAGAGAGATGAAAATATTTCTTTTAGTAATCATAAAAATATAAACAGAAGTGAAATAATATAAGAATAAGAAATTCTTATTCTTATATTATCTTTGCAGTATAAGAAATTCAAAAAATATTTAATACAAAATACATTTTGAAATAAGTGTATGAATTTATCACATTTAAATACAGATCAGAAGAATGATATATATGAACAAAATATTTTTATTCAATACTTATGCTGGAACAGTTAAGAGATAGAAAAGTTATAAAGTAACACCAACATAACTTAAGTATAGAAAAATATTTGGAAGAGAATTAGTCAAAAAAGTTTATCAGTAATGCTAATTACAATAAAACATATTGAGCCTGTAACTTAAGATTTAATAATAATGAAACAAATAAATTGCTAATGTTGAGGTTACCAAAAGTATTTAAGTAGAAATGTTACCAACCTTGATTTAGGTTATCTTTATCTAACAATCCCAAAAATGGAATAGAATTGTTTGCATATTTCAAAATTCAAAACAATTCTATTCCATTTACTGCATTCTGTTAACTGAAAATGATCCTAAATCAAGGTCAAATGTTTCTAATTAAATACTTTTCATAACTTCAACTTTCAACAATTTTTATATTTATTATTATTATTAATAAAAGTATAAGATATATACAAATATTGATAATATATTCTGTGTTTATCAGAATTCTTCCTTATACAGTTATTCTATTAAAAACTTTATTTTACAGAGTTTTTATTAGTTTGATTTTTCTATGGCAATCTTAGATTAAAATTGCCATTTTAAAAGTGCAAAGTGATTGAAGAATATATAATTATTTTCAAAAATCAATTGTTTGTGATATTTTAATTTTATGCATTATAGTATAATGCATAAAATTAATTGACAACAGAAACATTTTAGTTGTAATATCTTAAACATGAAAAAATGAACAAATATTGTCAAATGTATAAAAAAAAAAACATTTAAAACACTGATATTTCTGATAGAATGGAAAAAGAAATAAATGATGATACAATGTTAGAAATGACAAGTGTTTCATTGCTTGTTTAGATATGGAAGAAAAAGAAATCTAGAAGTTCTGCTTAAACAATGCATAATTGGTATTAGGTAAACTAATAGAGTAAAATCTTGAAAGGAAGCAAATCCACAATACTATCACAAATGGCTCTTTATTATTATAAAATATTGATAAATTAGGAGAAAATCAAAATTATTTATTTATATCTATTGTATGATTGAGAATTACAAATTATCTTTAGTATGAAGAATTATATTTATATAAAATAATAATTTCAAATTTTTTAATAGGATTGTATGAAACTCAAACTATTTTAGATCCTAATCTAGTTTTTCAAGTCTTAGTTAGTTTTATTTCAGCAAACTCATTCATGTTATAAAATTGATGAGTTTGTTAATTTATAAACTAGTCTAATACTGTATAAAAAAAAGCTTGATATTATGAGATGAAATACATCATATATTATTGAAAGACTGAGATTACAATTTTTATTCATTAAACCAATGTGGTAGAGTAACAAACAAGTTTTCACAAATAACTATAAATTTCCATCATGGTAGAACAAATATGTAGTTCTAAAAGGTATTTAGACTTTATTCAGATTTATGCATTAAGAAATCAATATTCCAGGAAATTGCATATATATAGCAGGGTGTCTCATAAATAAATTATCATTTTGTCCAAATAAATTTGTTATAAAAATTAGAAATATTCTTCAAAATACAGCCCATTGTAATCTGTGGTCTGTAGCCATCTTTCAGCTAATTCATACATTCTCACTTGTATTACTAATTATTTTTTAAAGCATAAATTTCTTGGACCACAAACTCAACTTGATTTTGGAAATGTCATCCAGTTAAAAACTGCACCATTGAATAGAAAATATAGTAATCTGAGAGCACAAAGTCTATCTGGGAAAAACTTTAAGTGTACCAGCCATTTGAAATGTTATCAAACACATTAACATCACTTTGTGTTCAAACTTGCTAACATGCATTTATGCAAATAGTCTGATGCAGTCATCATTTTTGTTTGTCTGAATTATAGAAGAACTTTTATTTTTTGTTACACACAACAATCCATTTGATGAAATAATCATCAAGAGGATTTTTGAACAATTGATAACTCATTTCCATCCATTTTTATGCTTGTGCAGAAGTCATCTTGTGACTTATGGTTCAACTCCTATTCACTTTTCCAACAGCAGTTGGTTGGCAGTACAATGATATTAAAGCTGCCTCATTCAATATCCTGCAAGTGCTTGTGGTCAAATTGTCTTCAACGACTTGCTGTATAAGTACAGAATCCATTGTTGTCGGCCTACAAGATTAAGGCTGATCATCTAGGTAAGGTGTGTCAGACTGATATAATGTAGAGACCACTTTTAGTTATATCACTGCATTACTTAAGCTTCACTAATTTTCTTGTCAGTGGACACTTGGCTTACCATAGGCTTTACTAACTTCAAATTTGGTTGAAACATTACCAAATGATTACCAAAATAATTGGGCTATAACTCTGCTAATTTTAATAATAATCATAGTGATCATATTTTATATCATAAATGTTTCAATGTGCGTCAGTTATCTTATGACCCAGTTGGAACTTGTACATTAAAACTTTGTAAATTAGCATGTTTTATTCTTAATG